TCTCTACGTCATAGCCTCCCAGTCCCCTGCTCATTCCCTGGTATGGTGATCCTGAGGGCCCTGACCTGGTACCAGCACGCAGCAAAACCCTTCTCTACCATCAGGAGCTCTGGTGAAAATCAAGCTGGTGTTTAGACTCCCCACCTCGGGTGAACCCACATCACCACCAGGGGGTGTTTTGCTGTAAGGTATTTAAGGCATTTATTGTTGTATGTATCTCCACTAGGGAGATTAGAGATTTCCTTTCACTTTCTGTGTCTACATGACAGAAATAAATGGAAATCTCTCCAATGGGACTCAGATGGCAAAAAAGTTTTAAAAAAAGACAATGGATTTATCTTTTCCAAGCCACATATTAAGTTCTTTGTCACAGGTCGGCTTAGAACTATGAGGTGAGTGGAAATCACTCATGTCATAGTTCTCCTTTAAGAAGATACCCCAGCATTTAAATCCAAACAGGGACCACAGCTTCTCTAACCACTTCTTCAGTTCTAATGAGTATCAGGCAGATATTCCAGTATTTATATCCAAACAGGGAGCACATACACGCTAATCCAATCACCATGGAATGTACATATATTGACTGCCCAAGAACAGGATGGGTGGTGTGAAAGTTGTGGAACAACCTGGTTCTAGTTACATAATCCTATCCTCGGTGTCAGGAAATCTGCATAAGTATTAATACACCTTGATTTACATGGCTAAAGGTTGTTGAATTGGAAGGGTAGAGATGTTGCATTATGCAATTCCAATGCAAAATTACATTATATATAGAAGACAGATGGTGTTAAAGGCACCAACCATGTTCAGGGATGATTATTACAATTTGATGTAGATGACCCATCCCATATCTGGCTGGAAACCAAGCTAATAAGGGTTTTTTTCTTGCACCTCTTGTCCACCACCACTGGAAGTGGTGACAGAAAATGCGAGGACACAGAGTGGAATGTTGTAGGCAGAGCTAGTTGTCAGGTGTGTGGACCAGGATGACTGTGCAGGAAACAGACACAGGAGCACTTCAGCACCAAGGGATATGGGAGTGTTGTCAGGACACGAGTCAAGGGCAGTAACAGTTGGGAAATAAGGCACAGAAACAGTAGGCAGAGACCGCGTCGGCATACAAACCAGAGGTCGGCAACAACCAGGCAGCAAGAGTCCCATTCAGCAGGCAGAGGCAGTGTCAGGAAGCAAGCAATGGGTCAGTAACAACCAGGCAGCATGGCTCTTTTTTTGGCGAACAACTGTAAAATTTTGGATTTCCCATCACTTTTTTTCCCACGGGTCAAATAGAGAAGGTGAATCTTCCCAACAGGTAATAGTCCATGCACCCATCGCAATTCTCACTGCTTAATCCAATGTTGGCTGGTGGGTCCAGCGGTAGTAGACTGCAGATCAAATGCGTCTTTTTCAAATGGAAAAAGTCCGGCGGAGGGCAACCAAACTAATTAGGGGTATGGAGGACCAGAGATACGAGACAAGGCTACTAAATGTAAACATGTTCACATTGGAGGTGAGGAGATTAAGGGGGGATATGATTTCCATGTACAAAATGTTCAATGGTGGTAACAACATTAGCGATAAACTGTTTAAAATTAACTGCATTACAAAAACTAGAGGCCACCACCTAAAATTGGTGGAAAAAAAATTCCAGCACAAGGGGCGAAGGGGGTTCTTCACAGTAAGATCAGTTAGGGTCTGGAACTCACTGCCACAGGCGGTGATTTCAGCAAATAATGTGGAATTGTTCAAGAAACTTTTGGACGATTTCTTAAGGGACCGTAATATACAGGGGTACAGGTACTCCTAGAATGAGATCCTAATAGGTTGGACTTGATGGACTAATGTCTTTATTCAACCTCAAATACTATGTAACTATGTCTTTTTATTGACGCAGATGCAGCATATCACACAAGTGCAACGTTTCGGAGTCTCGCAGGATTCCCTTCCTCAGGCAGAACATGTTCCTTTCCAACAGGAACACAGACAGAAATATTAACCTGTCTGGGGTTCTAACCTTTCCCTACTCCCTCCAAAACTAACAAAACATTTTGACTATGTATACACTTTCAGGAGAAGGGGTTTCTTTTGAGGACAATGGAGGACAACTGGTTCCTAAGAGGCGTGATAAAGGCCTTTTAAACAGGAGCAACCATCCCTAAACATACAGTAATACCTTGGTTCACGGACACTTCTGTTTGCGAACAATTCGGTTCGCGAACAGAAAGTTTAGCAAAATGTTGCTTCTGTTCGTGTATTCCAAATTGGGTGATGAACACGACCGTGGCCATCTTCCCCACTCTGACACGTGGTCTAGGCTTACTCTAGTCGAGATTGCGGTCGCAGACAGACCTGTGCACACTTGCTGTGAAGCTTTTTTGCTTGCTTTTTAGCACATACATTACTGTACAGTATTTTTCAATCCAGCAGAGCAAGCATGGCGGTAAAAATAAAGTGCAGAGCAAGCATGGTGGTAAAAAGAAAGTGCAAAGCAAGCATGGTGGTAAAAAGATAGTGCACAGCAAGCATGGTGGTAAAAAGATAGTGCAGAGCAAGCATGGCGGTAAAAAGAAAGTGCAGAGCAAGCATGGTGGTAAAAAGAAAGTGCAGAGCAAGCATGGCTATAAAGAAAGTGCAGAGCAAACATAGTGGTAAAAAGAAAGTGCAGAGCAAGCATGGCGGTAAAAAGAAAGTGCAGAGCAAGCATGGCGGTAAAAAGAAAGTGCAGAGCAAGCATGGCGGTAAAAAGAAAGTGCAGAGCAAGCATGGCGGTAAAAAGAAAGTGCAGAGCAAGTATGGCGGTAAAAAGAAAGTGCAGAGCAAGCATGGCGGTAAAAAGAAAGTGCAGAGCAAGCATGGCGGTAAAAAGAAAGTGAAGCGCAAGCATGGCGGTAAAAAGAAAGTGCAGAGCAAGCATGGCAGTAAAAAGAAAGTGCAGAGCAAGCATGGGGGTAAAAAGAAAGTGCAGAGCAAGCATGGTGGTAAAAAGATAGTGCACAGCAAGCATGGTGGTAAAAAGATAGTGTAGAGCAAACATGGTGGTAAAAAGATAGTGCAGAGCAAGCATGGCGGTAAAAAGATAGTGCAGAGCAAGCATGGCGGTAAAAAGATAGTGCAGAGCAAGCATGGCGGTAAAAAGATAGTGCAGAGCAAGCATGGTGGTAAAAAGATAGTGCAGAGTGGCAATGAATTTACATATTGTTCAGAACAGATTAACCGATTTACATTGAACCTTATGGGAAAATGTTATTCTGTTCGCGACCAAAATCATTTCGCGACCACGTTTGTAGGGGTCAGAACAAATTAACCTTATTTACATTGAACCTTATGGGCAAATTTGAGCCTGACACCAAGGATGGGATTATGTATCTAGAACAGTGGTTCCACAACTATCACACCTCCCGTCCTTTTCTTGGACAGTCAGCAATTGCCTTTCCTTGGATAAAATGTCTGTGCCCCATGTTTGGATATGAAAGATGAGGTATCTTCTTGACAGTCATTAAAACTAAAGACATGGCTTGGAAAAAGTACAAAACATCCTCGACAAATCTCACTCTTCGGTACTTTTATTTGTGGGTGATATCCATTCAGTTGTAACTGGCTCTTTGGGCACCATGTCTGAGATAGGTTACCAGGTCTTTCCTAAACCCTCTCAATTTGCAGCGCCTTGGGACCCACATGCAGATGTACATAACCATTTTGTACACAGATACTAGGACTAATTTAGATAGGAGCCAATTAACCTACCAGAATGTCTTTGGAGTGTGGGAGAAAAATGGAGTACCCAGAGAAAACCCACACAAGCACAGACAATCAGGGTATAACTCTATAACATGGGCCTCACAGCAAAATTTTGGCAGGCCCTTTGGCTTAAACTGGGTATACATTGTTATATCTTTTTCATTCAGTTTTTGTGTTCACCCTAAACAGGATCCCAGATAGCAAGGATAACTTGCCACAAATGTGTGGGAGGGTTAAATTGTAATTCTTTATAACTTGTTGCACACATTCCTGGCAAGTTGTAGACTTGCAGAACACTTGCAGCACAAGTTCTAGTTGACACTTTTTGAATTTGTAGCAAATTTTGGTTGGCAAGTCTACAGCATGAGTCCTGTAGGTCTTAGCAAGATCTCTGCAAGTGTACAGCACTATTGCAAAGCATGTTGATCTGGAGACTTGCAATGCAGTAATTGTGCAACAACATTGTGAAGCTCGGCAAGTCTGCAATAGTTTAGCAACTCATTTTCAAACTTGCAACTCAATTGTTTGCTATCTGGGATGAACAAATCTCCTGCTATAGATTGACAGTTGGCCCCGCAAATTCCCCCAGGGAAAAAAAGGGGGGAGAAAGGTAGAAGTTCCTCTTCAATAGGGATGAGGTCAGGTTCTGACCTCTGACCCTCCTCCGAACAAGAAATTGGCATGGCCAGTTCCACCCAATCAGCTGTGAATCTGGCATTCCCTGCCCGAAGGTGCATGCTAACAAAGAGGTGCTGATGTAATTTCCCCTATGTGCCCATATGAGGTAAATATTATTTATCAAATAATTTACCAAATAGAGGCATGTAGCAATATTAGGTCAATAATATCACAGGCGGGGAATTTCCTGTCTGCAACTGATTGGGCAACATGAAAGCAAGTCAGAACTTCAGACAGCCTCTTTAATGGGGGCCCCCTTCTTTCCACAGGTCCCACAGCTGCCACATGTACTTCTCTGTCTGTTGTTACAGCACTGACATGGAGAACATGAAAACTCCATGCAGATAGAGCCCTGGCTGAGACTTGAGCCAAAGACCCTATTGCTGCAAAACCTATCTGCTTGCCGCCTGTATTTGTTTTTACAATAAAAGATGGGAATTGCTCTGCTCATGCAAGGGTGAAGCAGAAGCAGCTCTGGCTATGAAATAGTCAAAGGCTCTCCCGCTGTGTTTGCGGTTCGGTCTAGGAGGGGTTAACCCGATCAGGCCATTATTTGTCAGGGGGCGGCTGAGGAACCGAAGCGGGCGTGGTCTGACTGGGTGACGTCACGCGGGAGGAGTGGCCGCCCGCTTCCTTCCTTCCTCGGATAGAGCTGCTCGGGACACCGGTGGGAGCTTCCGCTTTCCTTTGGAGCGTGTCGGGGGGGAACGCAGCGCCAAGAAGCCGAGTCTAGCGGACGACAGCTGGGTCAATGTGTGATTGCTGACAGGCCGGGATCATGGCGGCTATAAGGCTTGTGTTCCTGCTGTCTTGGGCGGCCAGTTCGGGAGGTGAGAGATGGGAGGGAGACTACGGGGCCGCTCCAGTGTTATTGCAGCCCGGCTATCCCAGGAGGGGGAGGAGGGGCGGCTGAGCTCACACAGTATACAAATGCAGCATGTGTGTCCACGGCCAGTGACAGCATCCCTTCCGCACATCACAGCCATCTTCCCTCCATGCATTAGTTTGCCAAGTACACAAGGCACATGGCCAGCCTGGCACTGCCCGCTGATCGGAGGGTGCCCCGGACTGTCCATCTATTCTCCTCCACCGTTCCATTCCCCATCCGATGTCTGCGGGCGGCTGGTCTATTGTTCTCCATTCACGCCTGATTGGCACTCGGGGGCACCATTGTTGTAATGTGTGTACCACAACAGAGCGCACATGTCTGCCTAGAACGATCGCTATATATCACACCCTCAGAGGTGCACTTTTTTTTATTTTTGTGTGTGGGTTGGCTGTTGGCCCATTCGCACTGTCGTGTCTCACTTCCCCATAATAAAAATAAGGTCTGTTTACATCTCTGCGCAGGGGTGCGATTTAAACACGACTTGTCCCGATTTATGTCTGCTTTGGGAGGCCCTTAGGTGTCAGAATGCATGTTATGTGTTGGCAATGGGCATTAACAAGCCTTGGGCATTATCCACCCCAAGTACTAATTTTATAAAAACTGGAGCAGCTGCCCATGGCGACCAATCAGCTTCTATCTTTTATATTCAAACCTTAACATAAACTGAAGAGAGAAGCTGATTGGTCCATATGCTGTCTGCGCCTGTCTTCATAAATTCCCCCCAATATATTAGGAATGGGCATGAAAAGGGCATGACCAACGCTACAAAAAAAAAAAATTGCACACGCCTAGATCTGAATGGGCCCTGTAGGTTTCTCTTTTAAGCCCTATTCACATTTATAGGAGCTAGCGAGATCGTATTTGATGCCATTATTTTTGTATTGCACCCAGCCATGGTGCATGCGCCGCAAGCATGTGTTATGGTGCAATGCAATTTTAAAAAAATAGGGCCCTGCACTTTTTTGGTGCGATCTGGATGCAGTAAATGAATGGACTCCCCTACCATACCGCTGCAATGCACGTTTGATGGCGCCTGGCACAGGTGTAAAGCGAACCTTACTGTTATTTTTTTCTCTTTAATGCCATGATGACTTGGTGTACATTTGTTTGTGTTGATTGCTGCAGAGCGGTGTCTTGTGGGGGGAACGTTGCCTCTGTGGCTCCTCTCCAGACGTCATGGGTTTTCTTTTGTTTTTGTCGGTAGATGGTGGCACACTGCGTCCACTCTGGCTAAAGCTCCCCGGCCCCCTGCTGGCTGGGCGCTCTGTGTCAAGAGAGGACAACCTGGCTCCTGTGTAGGAGAGAATTGCTGCAGACTTCCCAGCACCCTCCTCTGTAGGCGTTCGGTGGGGGAGAATAAGAAAATGGAATTCACATTTAACCCATTATTCTCCATGACACTTCTAGGCTGCTGTGGATTTCATATAGAATGATGTAAATATTGTGTGTTTTGTCTGTGTCGATACGCTTGCGGAACCTTAAGACAGAGCAGCCTCACCGTCCTGCGAAACCAGGAATCAAGTTTTTATTTAATCTATGGGATGAGCTGCCCATTTCAGGTCTGATATGTGAGCAGTGGTTTCTGTTTGTTTTCCAGTAAAGCAGTGCTTGGCATCTAATAGCAATGCATTGCTGACATGGGAAGCCGTCTGGTTCCTCTTCTGTGCCGGATCAGACTGTCATTTCCCAGCTCTCCTCTGCTGCAGTCTGCCCGCTTCCAGCCACAGTAATGATGTCATGTTTTCTGATTTTTACACAAATATTTTGGGATGGTTTTCTAATGTTGTTGGTGGTTCTGCTCTTAGTAGCTGCAGTAAGATCATTTCCTGTGAAATATGACGTGTGGAAACAGCAGACGTTGGATGTTGTTAAATGACATATTGTGCAACTGAAACTATGGCCGTAGGGTATACAAATAAAAGGTTTCGGCCCTTCAATTACTGACACACCCTTGTGTTTTTTAATTTATGACTGTATCCTAATCCCGATCTCCGGGAAAATAAAACTTAGCAGTGGGCTACCCCTAAACTTCAATGAGTAACTGCTTGGTATTGTCTTTTAGATTGTAAGCCCTCTCAGGCTAGGCCCTCCTTGCCCTCTTGTCTTGATTTGTATTGTAATGTCCTCCCTGCGCAAACGGTTGGCACTATATAAATCCTATATAAAAATAATATTGTTTAAAGGACTTCTACTCTCCCCTGGCAGTGGGCACTGACCTGTCTCTCAGCGTCCTCGTGTATATGCGGGGCCCATAGGTCTGCATTGTATGCAATGACATCACTGGGGCAGAGAGGAAAGAGGCTGCTGGCTCTGGTCTTGAATCCAGTTGGAGCGGGGATCAGGTAAGTGAAAGTCCTTTTACACAATACCCCTAAACAAAAATGAGCAGCTCATCCTTGCTATGGCGGGGTACAATCACTTTCAAGCATAGGTTTGTTTTTTTGGCATTAAATATTTGTGGTTTGTTTTATATTGTAGTCAGTAATCTGATTACAGATTTTCTCTGGAAAATTCCCGGGGTCAACATTTTCCGATCATGGTGTGTATTGTGGCGCAATATAAACTGTAATAAAAGTTAACAAGCAAGATATTATCTGCTGATTTTCAAAATCAATCTTTAGCGGTTGGCAGGCGCGGCATTTCTAATCACTATGGGCCCATTTGCATGTCTGCTTTTTAAACGTATTGGATTTTATATGCATTTGATGCGTAGCCGGGTGTTGTTGAAAACATACTTTCTTTGTATTTTGCTAGGACTTGGGTAACTTTCTTTGCATTTAAATGGGCATAAAACACATGCAGTACATGTACGCCATTTGTGCTCTTCCACCTATGAATGCCATGTCAGGGCTGGGCAAATCCCAGGAGAGAGCTTGCCAATGCTCCGGAAAAATTACAACCGGCACCTAACTTTTGCAGTTTTCCCCAGTTGTCGTCAATGGAGCAAGCCCCTAAAGCAGTGGTTCTTAACCTTTCTAGGGCCCGGACCCCTTGTTAACATTTGCCAAGTTGTGGTGACCCCCCTAACGGGAAAAGTTAGGGATGATGCGGCTGCTGCAGCGACATTTGGCGGCATGGCAGGAGAACTGACACTGCTGAGGAGGACTCTCACCTAGCACAGCAGCAATCACACATCAACCCACAGGATGAGAACCCCTGGAGTACGCCGTCAGAATAATAAAAAAAAAAACGCCATAGGAATGCATAGCTAGATATTGCACCCGCCCTCTGCTGCTGTCAATCACCAGAAGAGGACCTGATGGAGAACTTCAGGTCCCCCTCTGCTGATTGGCAGCAGAGGGTGGGTGCAATAGCTAGTTTGCTATTGGTTATTGCAAAGCAAAATAGCCAATAGGAATCTAGCTATGCATTCCTATGGTGGGTTTTTTTTTTCTGTGTTACGGTGGCCGGCGGCCCCCGATGCCAGGAAAAAAAAAATTGCAGGGAAAGGTTTACTCTGCTCCATCGAGAAAGTGTTTCTCTCCCGGGTGGCCGGGAGGCGCTATCTAATAGCAGGAGACTCCCCGGTGACCCCTGGCAAATCGTCATTCGACCCCCCCCATGGGGTCCCGACCCACAGGTTGAGGACCAGTGCCCTAAAGAAAAAAAACTGCCTCCTGAATGTAATAATAATTTGTCCTCCCCCCCTGAGCTATGTCTACTGAAACTGCAGCAATATTTTTTTTTTTTAAATGCACCGCAACAATATGCAGAGATTTCAGTGAAGGTACACAACATTTCCTTTGTTTTTGTTGTGGCTTCCACATAGGCGTGTAGTGCGCTATAAATATATATTTAAAGCCTGAAGCTGGGTTCACACCTAAGCGTATTACGCATGCACGTCTGTCGCGCGACCGTCACGCGGTTTTTACCGCAATTCGCGGTAAAAAAAAAATCGCGTGACCCCCGAAGGCTACTTGGCTGTATCCCAATGGAAAACGCCCTCCAAAACGGCCCAAAGAAGTACATGTACTTGTTTGGGCGTCAGCCGTTTTGTAGGGCGTTCAGA